GAAGGAAACTTTGTTATCAGCAACCAGATTAAATTGGTTCAATTAAGGTAAAATTAAGACAATTTTATTTTAACGAGTCATATGGCCCATTACTTTGATAATTTTTATTCTTATTTTTGAAGAATATGGGATTGATTGGATCACCTAGCTTAATCAAGAATTATCTGCTATCAACAGGCAAGGCTTTAAATTGCTCTTCTAGATTTCAATGGTTCATCCAAACTACAATAAAGCCTCACTTTATTATATTAATTAGGAAAGGAAAGAATATTTGGTATTGCCTATTGTCCAATAACTACTAAAGAATTTATATCATTTGAATTTTTCATAAGAGCATTACATAAATAGGTGCAACTGACATGACTCACATTATTTGCATAATGTCTTCATACATATCACTCCAGTTATCATAACATTAAGGAAAAGTTAATATAAATTTAAATGCCTCACTTGGTCTACTGTGAATGCAAAGGACTAGTCTGCAATTCCTGAGACGTCTGTACAGAAATCCTGAAGTTTGCTAAATATAGAATTGGTTAAATCAGGTTTTCACTATGTTTTAAAATATACATGACAATATTTCATTAGTCCAAAATATTAAATAGACAGCTTTATTGTCTTGTTTTCACATATGTGATAAAGAGGATTTAGTAGCTTAAAACTTTCTTAAGCAAATTAAACAAACATGTATAAAAAAAGACCTTGAAACTTCAATGGATAAATTAGATTCTTGGGATTTATAAAACACACTGCAGCTATGCTCCAAATTCCTATACTTTTGCCAAATTATTTTTTTAAATTCATAAAAATCTTAAAATGTGCATATTTCTGAAACTAAGTTTTTTTTTCATTCCAAAACAATTCACAAAAAACATTGTTTAACTTAACACTTGCATCTCTAACACCTATATATAGAAACATCCTCCCTTCATACATATGGGGATATTTTAATTCCTTTTTGTCAGTTACAAATGAATAGATCATTGAAATCCAACAGAACAGAGGACCAGGGACTTAATATATATATCCTAAGGGCCACAGGCAGTTATACTGTCCACTCCACATTTAATGGTCCATTCACTATTATCTTTCTCCACACTTCTAGATTACCTTACCCACATCATTATTATTGCCACTATCACTGCTGCTGCTGCCACTCCCATATTCCTATTCTTTGCTGCTATAGACATTAACTCTTTGCCTTCCAAACCAGTTTTCCTACACACTTTAATAAACTGAAAGAGCTACAGCCACTGCCCTTATTTCACCTGTAAAAGAGAAGAAAACTGCTGCTCTAAGACCCTTCTTCATATTCTCTATACAAACAATTTATCACAAGAATTTTCAGATGAATACTCAGATTATTTTCTGAGTGCTGAAACATTCACTCACAATGTAGGTGAGAGGAAGAAATCATATACTAAAGGAATCTTCTGGGAAAATGATGGGAAGAAGGAAAAAAAATCAATATTTGGAAGTTGAATAGCCCTCGGATGTGTATTCATTTTCCTCTCAATTCACCCATTTCTTACATATGGCACACAAAGCATTTTACAATTCTAAATGTGATTCTCGGTCTAAGACAAAACAACCACCCATGTTGTACAAGGAAGCCTATTTTCTATAAATATATTCTTCTTCTGAACTATAATTCAGAAGCATATAAAAAGGCCATTAATTTTATACAAAGTTTGAATATATTTTGCATGTTTAATTCTTAAGCTCTTTTATGAAATATTAACATGACTTCCCTAGAATCATGAAATTTCAAATTCATACATTCAAGTATTGGACAGCAGGGAAAAAAACCACTACCACTGGCCCAAAATATATAATTACTTACCTCTTGTTCTACATATTGAAGGAGGTAAACCCAACCTGTAAAATCTTGTGGGTTAGTTTCAACTACTTTCCAAAACTTGTCAAAGTCAGCAGGGAATGAATTTTCAGAATCAGAAGTCTTTACAGTTTCTGTATCTGGTATTTCAGTGTCCTGAACAGTCTCTTCCTGGGAATTGGCAGCAGGAGAATTGTCAGGGGACTGCTCCATCTCCATGACACTCATGATCTCTGTGCTGAAGTCAGCAGGCTGCTCATTCTTGGCCTCAGTGTCCTTACCCATGTTCTCACTTTTCAAGCTGCTGCTGTCTTCTATATGTTCTGAACTCTGCATAGCGACTGATACCTTTATATCTTTATGAAGTAATCTGTAAATGAGAAAATGATTAGCATCAGTACTATCTGTTGATTTTTCATTAAACAATACCGACATCCGACTTTTTAAAATAAATGTAACATTTGATAGAGTTATAATAAGTTAGATGAATTAAAACTGAATGAATGAGTCAAGTTTTTCTAACATATAAACTGAAAGCAAAGTATAAAGCAAATATCAGAGTAAAAACCATTTTCTAGCCCATTTAAGCCCAACTAAACTACTCTGATTAATAAGTGACTAAAATTCTCACTGGAATAAACATAATGAATAATTAACATGCTACTTTAGCATACCTCTGTTATGCACAAATTACAAGAAAAATGAAAATATCTTCATTGTATTTCATGACCTAAAATATCCAAATAAAGTGCTACATTAATATATCTGGCAGTACTGTTTTCATTTCCCATTAATCTCTACCTCAGAATTCCAACCGAACCAAATATTTTCATCTAAGCATCACCTTCTCTATTCTCAATTACCCGTTAAAACAAATAAATAAATAATGATTTGGATCCTGTTTCCTCACCGTCTTAGTCTCACCACCAAAACAAATTCCAAAAAATTCAACTGAATGGGAGGGGCAGGTGGCAACTGAGTCTGTCGCACAAGAGATAACTTACTCATTCAAATCATTGGCACCAGCTTTCATAACAACCTAAGATACAAAAGGGCAAATCAGTTGCCCTAATCTACAATTAAAAAACAGCAAGAAGCTCAATCACATCTTATTCCTAAAGAGCATGCATCCACTCTGATAATCCCTAAATGGTATAAAAAGGCTCAAGGGAAGCATTAGCTGCTAACTTTAGTCAAGTTGGAACTACCTGATAGACTTTGATGTGGTATCCTCCCACAATGCTTCTGAATTTGTTGGTACTAGTTAACTATAATCAAGATCTTTCTAGATGACAGAGCAGTCTTTAATTGGGATAATAGAATTATCTAAATTCCCAAAGTCATTCTGTAGGAAATGGATTTTAAGTATAATTCTTTTAGAACACAAAGAAACCCAAAAGCTTTTGAATGTGTTTGCAGAGAGGTACTTGGGACTCTTTCAGCTTCAATACAACATGTTCAAAAGCTTTTGGGTTTCTTTGTGCTCTAAAAGTATTAAACTTAAAATTGCATCCAGAAGCTGATATGAGGTGTAGAGAGCAAGAAAGAAGGCACAGTAAATGAATAATATAACTTTCTTCCAGCTATTTTTCACTTTCTTTAAATCCCTTTTCAAAGCCATTTTTTTCATTAAGTCTTTCAAAACGCTTAGTTCCTATAAGGCATTTTAGGCATCTGCAGTTGAAAAACCCTCTTAATTCTCCATATGGTTTCCTTTTTAGTGGCAAATCCACTGGCCATGAAGCCTGTTCTCTTGTATCCCATATTGTACTTTGACCATTGAAAATTTACGTTTTTTATAAGTTTATAAAAAAGAAAGTGAGGGAATTTAGCCCAGAGAAGGAAATATTAAAAAGGCAGAAAAATATTTTTTCTCAAAGGGACTTTTTAAAAGCAGAAACCAAACCTGGCCCCAAATCTATCTCTCTGCCCCAAAGCAGTAGCCAGCCCTATACAAATGCAAATGTAAAACCATCAGGAAGGTTGGAGCCAGGGAACTCAAGACAAAGAAACTCTTAAGCGTCATTAGCCCAGTGAAACGGGAGATGACTTTTGGGACATAATAGGACTAACCCATCAAGTATACCATACAGGCCTCAAAGTTCATGCCACAGGAAGAGGAAACTATTCCAAACAAAAAGCTAGACAGGGTATAAAAAGCTACTGCCCATGTGCTCTCCTCTTCTTCTCTCCTCTTTCTACTTCTTCAATAAACTGTATCCATCTTCCCAAAGCAGTCGCCATGTTGCTTATTTATTCCCGTCTTGGATGAACCAGGATGAAGACTTACTTCTAACAAAAGTTATGTATTTATCAGAAGGAGCGATGCAAGCGAACGCGGGCATAATTACGCCTTTCTCTCATGCCCTAAACCAGCTTTTCCCAAGCCCTTTTCTAAGCGTGAGAGATTACAGCCCAAAGCCACATGGCTGGAAATCACCCGACTTATATATAGTTCAACACACCGAAAGCGCCAATTTGGGCAAAGCAATCCTAGTTAAGAGAAATAAGGCGAGGAGAAACTCGCTAGGCGGACTTCTTGACTGAAGCTCCGCCGGTCATTCCGTCCCGGGGCCGAGGAAAAAGAAAGCTTTAGAGTCTCCCGCCTTTCGGGTAACGACGCCAGAGCCAGCAAATGTCTTCCTTTGATTCACCCTGTTTCTTCCACAAAGAGTAGTAGAGAAAAAAGCTGCTTTCCCTCTCACTTGCGCGCGCGCTTGGTCCCCCCACGCACGCGCGCGCACGCCTTCGACCACTGGAGGGGGGAAGGGGGGAATACAGAGCCGCCTCAGGCCGCGTCAAGCTCGAGGGGAACGGGGAAAGAAACCAACGATGGAGGGAAAGTCACGAGACGTAGGTCAGAAGGAGCGGGTTCACCTCTTTCCTAGCTGCCAACCGCCTCGCCTCAGACAGCGTGGCTGGCGAAGCGGTTTCCTTTTTCCCCCCCTTTCCTTTTAACCTTTCTTCAGACCTCTAACACGCACACGAGGAGGCTTCTCGTTCTTTCGCCCGTTTCCCTACAGACCTGGCGCGTGTTCTCTGCCATCGGTCCCGCCCGCTCAGCCGTCGACCTGACTCTCTGAACGGCCTCCGGTCTACCCGCCGTCCGAATGAGCGTACTACGCAGGTGCGTCAGATTCAAGGCCTCTTTTTTGGGCCCAATCTGACTTGCGCTGCCGGCGGGAAGAAAGAGGCGCATGCGTGGTAGCGCCCAGCTGGAGACCCGGAAGACAACCCGCTGAAAGAACATGCACCGGAAGGAGTCCTGCTCGGCCTTCCTGTGAGGTGGATATTGCATGATGTCTCTCAATGAGAGATAAGTATCAGTCTGCGTTTTTGTTCTGGAGGTGGTTGCGGGCCGGTTTAGACTTAATTCTTATTTCTAGTTAAGTCCTTCTGCGTTACTCCAGATGTGGACGGTGTGTAGTTCTAATCATGTTCAACTAAGATGGCGGCATAACTAGCTATTTAAATTCATCCAAATGCCCCCTGTCACTCTCTATCCTGATAATGGCTTAATTTCTTTGGGAGCTGCAAACGGGCGATTATTTTGTTTGCTTCTGTGTGCAATCTGCGGAATTGGAGGGCATAGCTGACATGGGAAAACGCCATAATTTTGATGTTATTTGCTGAGTAGATAAAGGAAGAAGTCATAAATCCTCTAGATATTAGCTGTAACTAGAAACGCAATTCTGAGCGTCTCTTGCACTACTGAATAATTACCTCGGAAAAACGAGTACCTCTGCAAAGTTCAACCACTGCCAAAACAACTGTGCTCTTTTAAGATTTGTTCCTGTCATTGTAATGTTAATTCTGAGTTATTGAAGAAAGAAGTTATGTGATCATCACTTAGATTTATTACAATAAAATACTCAAGTTTGCCAGAAGTTATCAAACTTGGTACCGAAAAATCTCATCTGTCTCCTGCCCTGTGCTGAATGACTTCAATTTTTGTTTCCATTTACAGTGAAGCATGCTTCTTCTTCTTGTGCCATATCCATTATCGGACATTGGCAATCATGTTGGCGATCCTGTTTTTATCAGCAGCCGCACGAAAAAGTGCTGCTGAGTTTTGTCCAAACCAGGCCCTTAGGTTTTGAAGCCAGGATGTTCTTCTTCTGCCTAGACCTCATTTGCCTTCAATCTTTCCCTGGAGGATTAAATGGAAATTTTTCTGAGTCACATGTCTGAAATATTCTAATTTTCGTTTTTTAATTGTTTTGATGATTTCTCTTGGCTTTCCCAGGCAGCTTATCACCTCATTTCTGATTTTGTCAACCCAACTTATATGTAACAGCCGCCTGTAAATCCACATTTCAAATGCTTCTAGTCTCTTCTGATGGCCTTCTGTCAGAGACCAGCTCTCTACTCCATAGAAGCAGGATAGAAAAAATATAGCATCTGACAAGCCTGATTTTCAGTCTTAGGCTTATGTCGTGAAGCATGCTTAACAAAGACAATTGAGCAATCTCGTATTAAAAATGCTTGTAGATTACACTTAGGTGGCTGATAAGGGCCATTGCAGAGCAGTACATGAAGAATGGAAGCCTAGAGCAAAAAGGGAAGGTTGATGAGAATCTTGGGGGGAGGGGATAAAAGAGGTAAGTTTAAAGAACAAAAGAAAAATGTATGAAACGCTGTATGAATGTGATTGGACAAAGGACAGGAATGAACAGTATTGGTGAAAAAACCCTTATGGGTTTCCTTTTCATATTTCTTTACAATTTAGTCCTTTTCTGGGCAAACCAGGAGAATGAGTTCTAGTCCTGCCATAGACACAAAGCCAGCTGGTTAACTTTGGCCCAGTCATGTCCTAGGAAGGAGGTGATGGCAAAGCACTTCTAAAGAATTTTGCAGACTCTGGACACAATTGAATGGAAATGTGTCAAGTAGTTAGAACTTAATTGTTTCAAAAACAATAATCTTCAAGACAAACAAATCGGGAAAGGGAAATAAACCACATTATTTACAGAAATAAAGCCATTTATTTTTATAACTTTTTTATCTTTCAGATGAATACAGTACTTGTAGGTTTCATATTTTGAGAGCAGAACTGGCACTATATTGCTGAGGATTGCACATAAGGTCAGAAAAGTTAACACCTTTATAAATTTTGGACAGATAAAATTCAGTAATATTTTTCACACTAAAATATGGAAGCTATATTCAACATGTGCCATTTCTTTTAAGACATGTTCAAAATCTGTAAAAAATTATTTTCTATAAATTTTGGTCAACATGCTTCATTAAAACCTTTTCCAAGTTTTACAACAATGTGCAGATAATTATGCTCAACTGTCAAGCAGATGTAATACATCAACAGCAGCAAAAGCAAGCTAACACTGCACAATCATGAGTGGGACTGATTTTTAAAATACATTTTTTTCCACAAATATCACACAAAACCCTGTTCATGTCTCTCCAAAGTCCCTCCCCCCCTTTTAAGGCTATATGAGAAGACATGTCATAACATGATTTCATGATTAAAACTATTTCTAAATTTCATCTTTGTTAGTACACACAGGGCGCCATGCCACCAAGTCAAAAAGAGTGCAAAGAAGCAGAGTTGACTTTGCTTTCACAGACATCGAATCCCGATTCTACAGAATTTTGGAACAGCACCAGGATAGGAAGTACATTTGCAAGTGTCATACTGATTTTGGTTTCAGCCTAGGACTTTAACTGGAAAAATAATGTCCTAAATGGTTGGTCATTAAAAGCAGTCAGTCCAATTTCATTTCTGCATGAAAAGCACAAACATAATAAAGGCAGGCTGCTTAAAAATGATCCATTCCAGATCATGTAAAACTGCTGTTATCCAGAGCCTATAATAATCTTTATGTCCATGTCAGAGTTTGCTTCAGGTAGTTTGGTCAAAAATTTCCTCCAGAGTTCTTTTTATGTGTGGGGGCTGAGATGCAGCTTGGATCAACAGATTCTGACCCATTTGTGCAAAAAGTGCTTTTGACAGTTTAGCAGTGGCTGCCCGAATATTTCCACCAGCTCCAGGTAAGGAACCACTGTTTGTCATGTTGCCCAACAAATGCCATAAAACCACCAAAACTTTCTGCTCCACTGCATGAGGCTTCCGGGGATACAACTCAACAACAAGTTCTGAATGCAGGAAAAGGACCAAGGAAGAGAGAGTTATTTTTCATGCAAAAATATGGCAAGATGTTGACTCCCCAGATTATATCCTAAAACTGAAGAGAAATTCTATCTTAATACAGTCTTTTCAAGAATGCTATTGTGCAAATTCAGAAGCAACTGTTGTGAAGTATGAACATACATACTGCATACAGAAAAGTCAAAGGATCTAGAAACATGGTAAATATTGGAAGAACAAATACATTTCTACCAAACAAATTTGTACCAATGGAAAACAAATCTGTATTTTGATTTCAAACACTTCAATGGAATAAAATATTAACTACATTTACTTTTCAGTTTCCTGTATTGGCTGTGAACTTCAAACTAAAACTATTGCCAACCCTGCAATACAGAAACACTTGAATAAAGACTCTTGAAAATACACGAGACTTATTCAATATAGATAGATCAGTCTTATGGAGAAAAAAAATCAGATGAGAAAAAAAGACATGAAACATAAAGAAAACTGCTGAAAGCCTTACCAGCTAGTTTTTCAGTTATGTCTTGTTTGGCTTTTCCATTCAGAAACTGGGCTTTAGTGCAGAATGGCTGGAGAAGCAGGTAATTGTCTTGAAGCAAAGGAAACAAGGACATAAAATACAGGATTTGCTTCAGGAGGTTTAGCTCCGAGCTCTAACAATAAGAATTTGGTATATAACAATAAAGATGAAACAGAGTTTGGAAGATGGCAAGGGGATAGAAAAATTTAGTCTCAAGTCCCAGATATCCCAGAATCTCAATGGATGAATTTACATTCTACATTAAATTGAAGTATAGTTTATTTAGTTTCACTTAGCATGATGGTTTAATGCAGTGCTTCTCAAATAGTGGGGCGCGCCCCCCAGGGGTGAGGCTCCGTAAAGGGGGGCTCGTTTGACCTCGGCAAATACTGTCATATTGGATTTCTAGATCGGATCATCCGACTCACTCGCAAGCGGCAGCCCGACGCGGAGGACAACATGACCGCCAACGCACGTGACACATGCAAAGGACCTGATTGGATAGACATAATGCTCTATCCTGATTGGCCAAACCCGCCCGTGTGACTTTTAGACCCGGAAATCGGTCCTCTGTACAGAAAAAATTTTTTTACAGTCGTACGGGGGGCGCGAAATGTTTTCTTCTTCCTAGGGGGGCATGACAGAAAATAATTGAGAAGCACTGGTTTAATGCAACTATTGTGTGTTGTGAACTACAATGTTTGGTGCTGGGTAGGGTGGAGAACACTCCTACTTTTTCATTGTCTCTGGAAATTCTCAATCATCCAGGTCATAGTTATCGCAAAGGTGCTTTTTTCACAAGGCAACTGGACTTTGTCATTTTGCTTCTCATTCAAGAAGCTGCTTCAGCTCTGACTCAAGAAAAGCATCTTTGGGACTGCTTTTTCATTGTTTTTAATTCTGAATGTTAACTGAGAAACATGACATTGCAGTGATATTACAGAATGGTTGACTTTTTAAAATTGAGTTCTATAGTGGCAGTAGGGTTATAGAAAGTAGGCAACATTTAACCACTGAAATTTAAGAGAAGAATAAGACAGAAAAAAAAATAAAGGTATGGTATCAAAAACTGCCCAAAGTTCCCTAGGTGATCGAGAGAGCAAACAAATAGATAAAAATAAATATTGGTCACCATATTTCAGTAGCACAATCTAGCGTAATTGCAAGCTACAGAAAATAGGAAAATGTCCCCAATCAGTCCCACTTTAGCCATGAAAGCCAGCTGGATGACCTTTTGACAGTCATTCAGCCCAATCTCTTTAGAAGTTTGTTTTAGGGAAAACAAAATGGGAAGGATATTATGTATGTTTGCTGCCTTGAGTTATTTATAAAAATAATAAAGACAGGATTAATAAAATCTAAAAAAAGCAACACATGGGCCAATAGTTTAATTTGAGTAGACCTTTCTGACATAATCTACAAATTATCGGTAAGAAGAAATAGGGGAGACATGATAGCAGTATTCCAGTATTTGAGTATTTTGCCACCAAAAAGAGGGGGTCACATTATTCACCAAAACACCAGAGGGCAGGACAAGAAACAATGGTTGGAAACTGACCAAAGAGAGAAGCAACCTGGAATTAAGGAGAAACTTCCTGACAGTGAGGACAATTAACCAGTGGAATAGCTTGCCTCCAGAAATCATGGCCGCTCCATCACTGGAGATTTTTAAGAAGAGGCTAGACCAGGGGTAGGCAACCCAAAACACTCAAAGAGCCACTTGGACACGTTTCCCACTGAAAACAAAACACTGGGAGCCACAAAACCCTTTTGATATCTAAAATGAAGATAACACTGCATATATCCTTTTTTTACCTTTAATTAATATATGTATGTATGTATGTATGTGTATGTGTTTGTATATATATAAAATAAAGTTAAAGGATATATGCAGTGTTATCTTCATTTTAGATATCAAAAGGGTCTTTCTGTCTCTTTCCTCTTTCCTTTCTCTTTCCTCTCCCTCCCTCTTTCCTCTCTTTTTTCTTTCCTTTTTCTTTCCTCTCCCCTTTTCTTTCTTTCCTCTCCCTTTCTCTCTCTGCTCTTTTTCCCTCCTCTCCCTCTTTCTCTTTCCTCTTCCCCTCTTTTTCCTCTTTCTTTCTCTTTCCTTTCCTCTTTCCTCTCCCTCTTTCTCTTTCATCTCTTTCCTTCTTTCCTCTCTTTTTCTCTTTCCTCTCCCTTTTTCCTTTCTTTCCTCTCCCACTTTCTCTCTTCCTTTTCATTTCCTCTCCCTTTCTCTTTCCTCTCCCTCTTTCTCTCTCTTTCCCTCTTTCCTGTTTTTCTTTCCTCTCCCCCTCTTTTTCCTCTTTCTATTTCCTCTCTTTCCTCTTTCTCTCTTCCCTCCCCTCTCTCTTTCTCTCTTTCCTCTCTCTCTCTTTATCTCTCTCTTTCCAGGTGAGGAGAGAGAGAAAACGAAAGGCAGACAGTGCCGAACGGGCGGGGAGGGAGAGTAGGATGGGACGCAGTGGCTCCAGTGGCGGCGGCGTGGCACGTCCGCTGCATCCTCAGCTGAACAGGCGGGGAGGGGGAGCAGGACAAGAAGCAGCTGCTCCGGTGGCGTTGGTGCGGCCTGGCCGCCACCCCCGCCGCGTCCTCAGCCGAACGGGCAGGGAGGGGGAGCAGGACAAGAGGCAGTGGCTTCGATGGTGGCGGCCAGGCCCAGCCGCCACGTCCTCAGCCGAACAGGTGGGGAGGGGGAGTAGGACAGGAGGCAGCAGCTCTGGTGGTGGCGGCATGGCCTGGCCGTCGCGTCCTCAGCTGAAGGGGCGGGGAGGTGGAGCAGGACAAGTGGCAACTGCTCTGATGGTGGTGGCGCGGGGCGGCCCGGGCGCCGCCCCCACCACATCCTCAGCTGAACAGGCGGCATCGGCTGCTGCAGCATTGTTGGGGTTCCCTGTTGTCCCCGACTTGGCCGCCGCCCCCGCTGCATCCTCAGCCGAACGGGCGGGGAGGGGGAGCAGGACAAGAGGCAGCGGCTCTGGTGGCGGCAGTGTGGCCCGGCCGCTGTGTCCTCAGCTGAACAGGCGGGCAGGGGGAGCAGGATGGGAGGCAGTGGCTCTGGCAGTGGCCATTGCAGCATCGTCGGGATTCCCCGCCGCCCCCGGCCTGGCCACCACCCCTGCTGCATCCTCAGCCACTTTGCCATCACAGGAAGGCGCCAAGGCTGGGTGCACCATGGGCAGCCGTGCCAGCAACGGGGAATGCCACTGCGGGGATGAAGGGGGGTCCTGAATCGCTGCCGCCCTCACAGCTCAAGGTCTTCTTCTCCTGTACCGCGGCGGCAGTGGCAGCGGGAGGACAGCCAAGAGGACCACGCAGTAGGTGGGGAAAGGGCCGGGCAGGCACTGTGGGGGAATCCGCTGCCCATGAGACGGCCGAAAGGCACAGGCAGAGAGGGGAAGCTCCGGAAGATCCCCGGCGACCCCTCCAACTAACAGAGGCGGAGCAGGGCAAGGGGAGACCCACCGGGCAGGGAAGAGGCACCCCGAGACCGGCCACCCGCGGCTCCTTACCAGGGACACCTTTCCAGCAATCGTCCCAGCCACCACATGCAGCACGAAGAAGGAAAGAGGTTTGTGGGCAGTCCCAGAAACCAAAGAAGTTCAACCAATCAATTCA